ACTTGGCACAAAACTCTGAGCTCACCTCTGTTCCCTGGTTGAGGACTCCACCCACAGCTCTTAGTTTCTCTTCCTTGAAAGCAAGCCCCTGATATCAGCCCTCCAGCAGGAAAGCCAAGTACAGGGGCTGATGTCTGCCCTGTTCCATATCAATCTCCCCAGATCCCCTCTCTGAATACAGAAGCTTCCCTCTTGAGCCAAAGCCCACTCACTTTTTCAGTATATCCACAGGCCAGCCACTCTTGCTGGACTGATGGAGGATTTGGCCATACACAGAGGCCATGACACTATCACATCTGTAGTCAGCAAAATAAGATGGTACTTTAGGTGTGAGCATCCCTCCTTAGGGACAAATGGCTTCTCCAAACTTCCTCAAGATGAAGACTTAACTGCCATAGCCCAGATGAAAGGAGGAAACAAAGATGTTGCCCTGAAACTCAAGCTCCACAGGGAGCAAACCTGAAGTGTCATCCTCTTTTCTTTTGTACCCTCTCACCTCTCCACCTTCCTATGAAAGACCTTGCACACCTAGACACTGTCACTTTATGATTTGAGGCCAAAGCAGAACCTCCATCTCATTTGAGTGAGACTTGAAGAAAGCCCCTCTCTTTTTCCCCAAAATAAATGACTTCCTTTGGTTAGACCAGGAGTAAGCAGCTGAACCTGAAATGCTAGTAACCCACCAACCCTAACATCCAATGGCTTCTTGTGTCTTCTTGGGTCACTATTCTAAGTCAGAGATAAAGCCTAGGAGAGAAGGTAATTTCCTTAGCTCTGAATTGGCTAGTTACCCAGTAACATGCCCACATACAATGACGGGGTCATATCTGTGTGTGCCATGAGTGAACCCAACCATCTCCTTCTGAGATATCTCCTGGGGTCCCAGCCAATTCAGTACACCCCCAGGGCTTCCACTCTGTCTGCATCCAAGACAGGAGTCTCCCCAGATGGAGTCCTGAGCCTCCCTTACATATGGTGAATGTGCCTGCAGCATCATGTAAGGCAGGACCAAGACTGAGGGCTTCTCTGTGTCAATGCAAGGATACTGTCACACACAAGGGAAGAATGCCAATAGGTGACTCCTGTATACAAGCCCACCATAGGCATTCTCAGGCTCCTTTGTTCCTGACCACACTGTACAGGTCCTTCTATGAGTACCTGTGTTTCCACACAACAAACTGGATCATTGAGTGATTCCAGATGGTGCTGAGCTCCCCTAGTCTAGCAGATGGTGCACAAACCTTTGCAATAGCATATCCAGCACCTGCTGCATGGTGCCAAATATTTGGTAGGTTTTAAAAAATTTGGGGAGGACTACGTCATTCCCATTATGTGTGGATGGCACAAGAGAGTTGACCATAATCTCCCTTATATCAGTCTTTGGAAGTTCAAGGCAAGCTCGAGTATGCACAGTCTGACCTGGCTCCTTTTCACCCTGCAGTGGGACCATAGAAACAGTAGTTGTATTAATCATGTGTCTGTCTATGGGACCAGTACTCTACACAATTTCAGAGGAGGAGAGGCTTACTTGGACCACAGTTTTAGAGAGTTTATTCCATGGTTGGGTGGGCCCTAGGCAGAAATTCCAAGACCCAGGCGAATGGCAGAGGAAAGTGGTTCCCAAAGTAGTGAGAAAGCAGAAAAAGAAAGAACAGAGGAGACTGGGGCAAAATATACCCTCCAGAGTCACAGCTACAGTGGCCCTCCTCCTCCACTTCAGCCCCAATTCCTAAGGACACATTAAGCGATGGCATCATAATTCATTGGTCCATCAATGAATATGTCACTGACGTAATAACATCACCTCTAAAGGCCTCAACTCTAGATACATGAGACATGTGAGACATCATCATTTTACATTTAAACCCCACCTTAAAAATGGTCAAATGACACTGCCACATGATGATATGAGAACATCACAAATTTTGTGCTGACAATCATTGATGTACATGGACACACACACACACACACACACACACAGAGAGAGAGAAGGTTTGGACCCACACAGAGAAATCAAATCAGTGTGCTGGCCTTTGCTAACCGGCCCTCAGCTACTGTGTGCCCCACTTTGACTCCTCTGAGAAAAGGGCCACAGGTAGCAGATTAGTTGGACACCCCAGTTTCTCCAGTTGTGCATGAGCCCTTCTCTGTGAGGCCTCCTAGGGCCTGAGCCTTGGGAAGTCCGGAAGAAAGAACAAAACATCTTCACATGTCCTATGTCTCCAGACAAATGAGCAGGCGTCAGTTAGTTCTGTTATGTGCTGCTTAGCTACAAGGTCAGAGCATCACCCCATCATGAAGGAAGTGAGGTCATCGACTGGGGTCTCCTTAACTGAACTTTTCCTCATACTGGACTTCAAACTGGCCCGAGGCTGCTGGCTGCCCATGACCCACACTAGTACACAACCAGAAAAATAGAATGAAATAAAAACACTTGGCCCATCCTCCCCCAATAGGCCAGGGCTTAGCTATCACCCAAGGAAACACAAGGACCCTGCCAACCTTACTCAGGATTAGCTTTAGATGTTAGCGTTTAGGACTAGATGTTAGGGTTAAGCTTTGTTTTGAGGGTCAGAGTTTGATTTACATGTTAGGATCAGAATAAGGGTTTAGGATTCAGTTACAGTTTAAGGTAAAGGTTCAGTGTTCGATGAAGGGTTATGACTTAAGGGTATGGGTAATGTTTAGGTCCTGGTTTAGAGCTAAAGTGTTATGATTACAGTTATTTTTGAATTAGAGTTAGATTTATGTGTTATTGTTTGAGTCATTGAGATGACTATATCATGCTTTAGTGCTAGGGCTTTGGTTAAAATAGGGTTAGAGTTAGAAGTTAAGAGTTATGCTGACAGCCTTTGGTTAGTTTAAATGTTAGAGTTAGGAGTTAGGGTTAGAATTACCTTCATGGCTATATTGGTAATGAAATGAGAAGTGTGACCAAATTTGGAAACATACAAGACTTTCAGCTTTTAATAATTCTTTCTGATTTCTAAAATTTAAATCCCCCGCATACACCTTCAGCAATATAAATATAGAAAATCAGTTACACACATGCTGCTATTTCTCTGCTTTCACAGTGTTTGCCAAGTGTCCTCATTCAAATTGATTTTTAATACTCTTTTATTTTTTATTTTAGTCTCACTCTAGTATATTCAATCATCGCAGTTACAAAGTCTATTTACATTTTTTCTATTCTTTGAATGCGGTTTTGTGCGAGATATCTGACTATGCCTCTTGCTGCTGAAAGGTATGGATGGGCAGTAAGTATGTAAAAAATCGATACTTACAGTGGCCAATTTTGAAGACAAAGTAATAAATTCTAAGGGGAAAATTGCGGGGCTGGTGAGATGGCTCAGTGGTCTAAAGCACCTACTTAGAACAAGCT